TTGCACAATCCATTGATTATCCTTCCAAGCAAGTACCCCACAAGTTGGGTGCAGGGATGTTGGTACTGCCTATATTGAAAGGTATAAGGATGTTGGTGTTGCCCTAGCCTAAAGGACTTATATGCGCAATCTTTCCATAACTGTAACCTTCTGTAACAACTGTTTGCTACGCATAGTGCCTGCACTTCATGATTGGGTCTCCTTTTGGAAATTCCTATTTCCATCATTGTACTGCACTTGGACTTAACCACAGGGCTTCGCATTCAATTAAAGGCTTCTTATTAGGTTACAGAAGCTAAAATCTTTCAATTTTGCTTCCAGCCAGACTTGAACCATTGACCTTGATTGTGGAGAGTATAGGAGCTTAACTGCTAAGCTATGGGACCCACACCCTTTTATATTAACTTTTTATTTTTAAGTTAAAGTTTTATTTTATATAGTTTTGTTAAATATTCTAAATAAATAAAAAAATAGTAAAATTAATTTTATTTAATATAATTTATAATTTTTAAAAGTCTAATACAGTTTTATAATTGTAACCATTTGATAGTTATATAATAAGAGTCATATTTTTTTTTGTTTTACTTTTTTTCTTTATTTATTTTTTATATTGTCTTTTATTGTTTATCTTTATAGTTTTGTTTTTTTTTATATATAAGTTTTTTTTGTTTTTGTTCATTTCTTTATAAGAAGATACCATTAGATTAATATTTTATTGTAGAATAATAATTAGATACAGTTTCTAGTATACTCTAATTTCTTATAAAGTTAGACAGTCAGTATAAGCAGATCACTTATAAAGCTTTTAGAAGTACCTGCAAGGTGCTGGACCAAAATTTATACAAATTTGTATATATGTATAAGAATTATAATAAAGATAACAAAAAAAACTACTTAAGTAAAGAAAAAAAATTTAAAATAACATCTTATATATAAATAAAAATCTTTCTTATTAAAATTTCAAAATCTTAACTTTTATTATATAAAAACTTTATATTTATTAAAAATTTTATTTAAAATATTGTTATATATAATGCTGGATACCTATATTCAATGGTTATATAAAATGTTTTAAAATTCTAAATAATTATAACTTTTTTTCTAAAAGTTTTAAAAAATCTACTTAGTAACTTTATAAAGTTATATCAGCTCTACATATATACCAAATATCTTTTTAAAATCTCGTTATTGTAAAGAGTTAATGCATTTTAAAAATTGAAATTTTATATATAAAATTCAATTTTAAAATACATCAACTCTTTACAATAATGAGATTTTGAAAAGATATTTGGCATATATGTAAAGTTGATATAGCTTTATAAAGTTACTGAATTTTTTTAAAACATTTAGATAAAAAGTTATAATTATTTAAAAATTTGAAACACTTTGTGTAACTTTTAAGTATAGGCTTCCAGCATATTATAAATTATTAAATCTATTATTATGCAGTATTCAACCGGGCAATATAAATTTAAACAATATTATCTGTAGCATCTAATTTTTTTATATATTAATTATAACAATTATAACAAATCAACTGTTTGTCTATTTAACACTAATAAACAACTCATTAACTCAAGCACTTTCCAAAAAGTGGTAGTTAGTAATCTACCTCAAAGTAATTTTTTCAATTTAATGGTTTTTGCCTAAGTTGTTAATACTCTCAAGTACAACAAAAAAAAAAACAAACCAAAATAAAAAATAAATGTAAATATATAAAATATAGAAAAGATATATTTTTAATAGAACAGGTTGGAATATACGGAGGTTTGGCGTAGATTACAAATCTTACACCATACAATAATTTTCAGCAAAGGGAATGTCCATTTCTAAACAAACTAAAAAAAAGTAAAGAAGTCCTAGTCAATCTTCTTATATATAAAGTCCCTTAATTCAAAATTCTTATCGGTATATCAAGAGACCGAAAAACCATAAAAAGAAAAAAGTACAAGGAAAAAAAAAATCAAAACCCATATATATCCAAAAACCCATATTTGACATCATAAAAACAACCAAACTTTACAATTATTAAGCTAATTAGCAAATATGAAAAGAAAAATTCGTATCAACAGTTTGATAATTTAGATATTGCTGGAAACACCCATTGATTCTAATACGCCATCATCATCATCTTCATCCTCCTCTTCCAAATATTCAGCTTCCCATTTAGATGTTAGTTCTTCGACAACACCACTAGTACCATGTCGCATTCCAACGTCCAATTTTTCCATCCATTCATCAGGCACAATAGGTATAATAGGGTCAGATTCTTTATTCTTGGTACCGAAGTTTGCCAACATCTCAGTACTAGTCGGTATAGCAAATGGTAATAATGAATCACTAGGTTTCATTTCCATTAAGTCGTCATCATCTTCCCAATTAGGTTCACCGCAAGGTGGTAATGTCGGCGATACTGTTAAATAAATGATACTTGAAGCATCACTTCGATCGCTCCGTATACTTTCAGTTGAATACCGCTTTTTCCGTCGTTCAGTATCCTCTTCCAATTGTAAAATATACTGTTGACACTCTTCAGTTATCTTTGGCTCATTAACCTCATATTTATAGTTTTTACTGACTCGCTTAAGTTGTGCAGGGTTAATAAGGTTAAGTTCTTTGGTAGTTTGAACTAAAAATGCAAAATCAGTCATCTGGGACCAGCACATCAACAGTTGTAAAAGTTGAATCAAAGGTTGGAAATGTGATATAAGAGATAACGATAAATTGTTGGTGCGGACCCAATCTTCAATAACAGAAACATTAAGACGAATTTGCATTGCCTTTGACCGACACAAATATTTCTTGCGAGAAAGGATTTTGTTAAAGAGTTCACATGAAATATAATAAAATAATTGATTGAGAACTTGGTCAATGATCATCGGATGAACTTCATATGTTTGAAGTATAAAAAGTGTAGAGGATAAAAGTGAGGTAATATTGCGTGGAGATGGAGCGCTTCGTTGCCGTGGAGACGCGGGAGCACGAAATGAAGGTATCATATTTGAAGCGGAATTTCTTTTTAAATTGATAGATGAAGCTCTTTTCGGGGTCGTATAACCATTTTCTTGAGGACTTTTTGGTCTCCGAGTGAAATTTCTGAAAACCCTCCATTCACCTTCAAACCGAACATCATCCATTCCAGGGATGGCATCATATTCCAACATTGAAGACTCTAACACTTTTTCAATTCGTCTTTCGGCATCTCTTATCAAAAATACATATGTTTCATGAAGTTGTTCAGAGATTCTTAATTGATATTCAACTGTAGCGCTAGCAAGACCTGGATCTTTTTTTAGATAGTACAGTAATAATGTACAATTTGAAATCCAGAATGATAAAAGAGTCATATCATCAGGTCGTGTCTGAAACGAAAATAAAATAGGATTATGAATTTGTATGAATTTAAATTAGAGAGTAATTAAAGTTAATATTATGATATAAAGATACACACCTTGACAACAGTATCTATGGAATTAATAACTTCGAATAATAATGATTCCAATAATTCAGGACTACTATAATAATGAGCAAATCGAGCACTCAAGAATAATACATTCGCAGGTACGGGTTTTTGAGATTTATTTCTGATCGGTTGCATTCCAGTGATAACTGTTTTAATAATATGTGGTATATCTTCAACTCCAAAGACAATCATTTGGTCTGGTAAACAATCGTTCCACATAAATTCAAATTGATCATTATCGTCTTCATCTTCCTTCTTAAATAATTAAAAATAATTATAAATTAAATATAAATATTATTAAAATATTAATTAAGTATACATATTAAAGTATAAATTATTACATACATCTGAGTCATCAAATCCTAAACTAGATAAATCCAAATCCAAATTAGAGGCACTTTCCATTAAAATTCTCTTTCTCATTTCAGCTTCAGCTAATTGTTCTACTAATTTGTGTTCAGATTCACTAAGCATAGACCATCGACTAATACTACTAACACTTGACCAGCTATCACGTTGAGGATTAGCTATAAAGATTTCGGCAAGTTTGTGGTTTTCAGGTGGAATAAAATCGAATACAGTTCTACCTTTTGACGATTTAGCACCAGCATCTGCACCGTTATCCAAAAACAATCGAATGGTTTTATCATGATTGTTGTTGGTAGCCCACATTAACGGTGTCCATCCGACTAAATAAAAATTTTATAAAAAATTAATTCAAGCCTGTGAGAATGGAATGTGAGATTAATTATCAAGTTACTTACATCTATCTTGAGCATCCACTTTTGCACCAGCCTCCAATAATGTGAATGCAACAGCATCATGCCCAAAACACGCAGCGTAAACCAATGGAGTAGTTCCTTCTTCATCTTGGGCGTCAATGTCAATATATTCTCCTACGGTGTCCAACATTCGGGATACTTTTTCAGCATTTCCATTGCTAGCAGCTCGTGAAAAGATACTGTTGATCTTTGCTTTTTTTTCCTCTTCTGACAAAGAGGTATTTGACAGGATAAGTTTTTCATTCTCTTCACCAAATGGATCGAGAAACAGGTCAGAAGCTTGTAAACTACTCTTGAGTAAATTATCAAGTCCGTTATTAGAACTTTTCACGTTATCAACAGTTTCATCTTTTTGTGAAGGTTTGTTGAATTTAATGGATTTTGTATAGTCTTCTTGATCCGTGGAATTTGTCTTCCATGGATCCAGAAGACCAGCTTCGTCTTTATTTTGGTTTGAGTTATCGCTAGAATGTGAGAGTTTTTGATCCAAAAGAGTCTTTGCAGCATCAAACTGACCTTTCATTATATCCTGATAACCACCTCTAGAAATATAATCTTTAGGTTGGTCATATAAATGTTGCGGCTGTGGCGTCCTGTGAAGAGCCTCTGTCATGGTTTATATAAACAAAAGGTGGCTTCTTATTTCTGCGATGAAGTATGACCACAGTTTGAAAGTAATTAAATTTTTGTGCCAAGTTTTCTAAACTTGTGTGCACTAACCAATTCAATAATATACGAAATGATAAAAGGAGATACCAGTTGACTTCAAAAAAAACAACAAATAAGAAAAAAGGAAAATATGTATATTAGTTTCACCAGGAAAAGAAAACAGGGGGAAAGTCTATTATAACGTGAAGAAAGTGACGAAAGTAAATCGCAAGGATGAAAGGAGCCGCCAGCGTCCTCGCTGATAAAAAGATTTTGCCAATTTTATTTTATTTATTTTTACCGTTAAGAATATTTTTGAATATTGAGAGTAATTTATTTAATATAAAGGGAGAATTACCAAGATTACCGACTACTTGGCAAGATACGAAAAGAAATTTTGCCAGTTTAATATATATACGAGAAAAAAAAAAACGAAATCGTATGGTTTTGTCTATTTAAGAAACGAAGATAATTAATTAATTTTAAGTTATATTTGGTAGTGCTTGTCTTATAAGTCCATAAACATATGTTTTTTTTTTTTAAAAAAAAAATATAATAATAGTTAAATGATAATTAGGCGGTAATTTTGAGAAAGGAGAGCTTTTGATGAAAGGCTTTGTTCCCTCTGAAAGATAACCGAACCACCATAGAAGGGTGGCTAAAATATTGAAAGCTTGTGCTTAAAAAAAAAAACCGGATTGACGTCAATGCAGTCGGAAAAAGTATCACCATAAACCGTTTATTAGCTTGTTTGATAAATTTCTATTTTTGGAGTGTTTCAAATATCTAATACCGATTGCTCGGTTAATAAAGGAAATTAATGTTAACGTTAATATAGATTTTAGGGTGGACAATATTATAAATATATATAGATTTTTATTAATGTTATTATATATTAATAATATGATTTGTATAATATTTTGTAAGATAAATAGTATCAATGTATCAATATAGTAAACTATTTAGGGCTTTGGGTTACCCACATGCAATTAATGAAGCGTAATAATTCGTAATAATTCAAAAAATGAATCTCTCGAAGATCTTTGTAAAACCAATGATCATGTGCCTTCATTTATTTCTTTTTCATTATATAAAGAAATATATATACAGTATATATAAATATAAATATAAATATGATAAATATATATATCGATATAACAAGTTTCGAGACAAAATTCGAAAAAAGTTTTTGCGGAATTCAATTCCGGTAGAATCACTTTATCCTTTTCGAAGAACGTAAAAGATTTTTTACATCTTATCTAGAAATTTTACTTAACCATATGTAGAATAATGTTCAATGATAGGTATCGGGAACGCATATTCGCATATTGGCGATACATTAATGAGGATACACACACAAGTCCACATGGTTTATCACAATTTCACAAGCTGAAGAATTCTTTAATTGCTTTGAGTGGCTTTGTATTCTTCTTTAACCATTTGTTGCAGTTATAATTATTGAGCAAATAATATTTGTGACGTTGAAAATAACATTAGGGATAAGTATAAAAGATGACCATCCAGTATTCGCACTAGCGTTGGTAAAAAAAACTAATCGACATCCACACGTGCTTCCTGAAAATAGAGCCCATGTCATATCTGTTGATCAGGTACAATATGTAAATAAACAAAGTATTATCTTATAATTCGTCTTTTATTTCAAAGAACAAAGGGATTTACAGTTATATATGGTTGACAAGATTAATAATAACTTTTTAATAATAACTTTTTTGCCGGTCATGTGGGATATGTTCATGTAATATTACGTATAAGTATATAAAGCTAGATTAATACCCTGTACGTACCTAGTATCACAAAGACAATATACAAAAGAGTTTTGATTGTCAAGTTAAAGTTATCGAGTCTTCTGCGAGCTCCTGCGACTTTCCTGAGAAATGCATTCACCAGGAAGATAACCCGTTAATTCAATGATTGTTAATGTAAAAGGAAATTTTACCGCAGCTTACATATTACTTCCTGTTGTAGAAATTTGAATTATATTTGAATTGTAGTTAAGTTTCTTTCACATGAGAAGACATCTGACAATGCAAAATTTTAAATCTGGTCTTGGCTGGGAATTGTAATTATTACCAAAAGATTTTTGAAAGGTTTACCGATTTTGCTTAATCATTGAAATCCTATGCAAGATCGGGCATTTCATACGAAACCTTCTTTTTGTTGCATGCGCCACACCCTTCCATGGAAATGATTAATAATTTTTAAACGCCAATTCTCATTTGTGTAAACATCAAATTTTTGTACGTATAATTATCATGTTTAGACCATTACGGTTAAGTCCATCAATATTTCTATTACTATTACTATTGGTAAATTGACATGCCTACCGATTACCAAATCCATAAGGCAGGTCAACCCTGCACACTTTAAAAATTCAATTTATCGACATACAATGCTATACAACACTTTGGGTTAATGATTAAACATTCTGGATTTTGGATTTCAAATTTCACTGTATGACGCGAATTTTTTTTTTAAGTCATATTACCAAATATTTGTATCTTGAATCACAAAATTCTTATCGGAACTTTTATCGGAGTTCAATGTTCACAATGTTGTCTAGCACAAACTTTTTCATTATACGTATAGTAAGCGCGATTCCTACAATGAATTTCACGTGACTGTTTTTAAAATAGTTAGATTAGAACACCCTAATTTAAATTACTATTCAAGCTTTCGATCTTTCAATTCCTTGACAATTTCTGCATTTTTAACGATGATATTCCAGGATTGGAGCATTAAAATCAACGGAACAACTACCCAAAGTCCGTTAAAAAACTGAAAAAGCAATATGGATTAATTGCATTACAAAAAATTATATGATTTTTAAGGACAACATATGTTGTACCTATACTTGCTAGCAAAACCCGGACAAATCCCAAATACCAAAAAAACCAAATTGCTTTTATAAAATATTAAATCAACAAAATAATTTTGATATTTTGTAAATATATTATATATAGCTATAAGAATATATATTATTTTTTTGAATTATTAATAAACATTTTTTTGAGATATTAGTTTGGGATTTGGCTAGCAAATATATGACGTACCACGAGATAAATCCATAAATATATCAAGTTTTCTGTATTTAAATTTTTGGATCCAGTTAACCATTCAGGACAAAAAGTTATCCAACATCCGTAAACTTCACAGACACAAAGAACTATTTGCCAATAATGTCTTGATGCATTATTATTGATCAAAAGGTAGAGAACGTAAATTGCAAGTGGTCCAAGAAATATTGATGTGGGAATTTCAACAGATAATATAGTAGCATCAGAATGTAACCATCTTAAATCTGCTTTACCATATTCTTGCCCTTTTATTATACATTATAATAAATGTATGTTAGTATGTTAGTATGTTAATAAATGTATGTCAGTATGTTAATAATTGTTCAATAGAGCGATTAATAAAATCTTACATAATTTAACTAAAGGACCTTGGCTTCTTTCAATGGTATCAATTAATGAATAATAAACAAATGAGCCTTCCAAGATTAAGTGGATCAATGCATCAAATGTTAACCAAATGAAGACAAATCTTTCAAATTTTTTTATTACTTTACTTTGTGATGACGGTAAAAAAATGGTTGAAAGAATAAATGCAATAACAAGTAATAATATTACAAAGATTAATGACATTATCATTTGTTGAAAATCTAATTGAGCTTCATCAAACCTATCGATATATTGTGTCATTCTTTTTCTTTTGGATTAAAGAAATTGACAGTGTCGGCCTATCTATGTCATTAAATTTTTTTTTTTTTTTTGCAAATAATAAATGTTATACAAGTATGCATGCATGTACGTTGACGCTCAAAAGCATTGCATGACCCATGAATATTAAAAACTAGGAAGTCTGAACTTTTTGTCTGACGATGAATTTTGCGATATATATAATTTATAATAAATTTATATTATATAAATTTTATTATGTACGTACGTATACGTAAGATATATATAGTTATCTGTTATTGGATGCGAAGCATCCAATAACGGGCTGTAAAATTTAATGTGAGCTCCTGGGCCCCGAAGGGCCCAGAAATGGAATATTAAATTTTATTGCCAGATAAACAAGTTATTGGTGCTTGACGTTCAATAACGGTGTTATCCGACGACCAGATTGCCAAATAATAAATTATATTTTATATTAATAAATTGACAGTAACAATACAGTCGCACCTTCCTAAGTGCATCCCGTCGGGACCATAGTGAAAAAAATTAAAATTTTGCACTTAGAGGAGGTTTGCACTTATAGAGAATAAAATACATAGGATTCTTATAAGTTGGCCAAACCCGTATCGTGCATTAGAGAGAGAGAGGTTTCACATAGTACTTGCTCTTAAGGGGTGTGCACTTAGGAGGTGTGATTGTCCGAAAGACTTTCTATAGATAAGCAAGTACCAAAAATGTCTTGGATCCGATCACGTGATATATATCCAATCAGAGGTTAAACCAATATGACAGATCGACACGGATCAGCCCGACAAAATAGAAAGTCCCGTAAAATTAAAAGTTCAGTAAATATGCGTTTATGTATGTTGTTACTATCACGTGACGATCGAAAAATCCTTTAAAAGTAGGGTCATGTAGATCATTTTTATATAGTTATATTAAAAATTTTATTTAAATTTGATATATATATACTACTAATAAAACTTTTTTATTTTTTAATTAATAAAAAAATTTTATAATATTATATATAAATAAAATTATTTATCTATTATAGTAAAATTTTGAAATATTGTATTATTTTAAAAAAATATACTTGTATATACAGTATAATAAAGTTTACTTAGATGAATTAAAATTTACTTAAGTAGTACAAAAATGAAAAATTTAATTAGTTAATTTATATAAATCTATTAGTTAATTTTATTCTATAATTTTATATTCTAATTTTTAAAAATTTATATCTTAATGAGTTTTTAATCTATTTTAATAATTTTACTATTATTAGAATTAAAAAAACCTATTTTATAATTTTTATTTTATTTTTTTTTTATAGTTAAAGTCTTTGTTTTGGGAATGCAATATATATTTTTATTTAAGTATATTAGAACACAGCATGTTACCAAGGGTTTACCTTACATTGAAGATTACAACTAGTCATATGTGCACTTTTGGTGTCTAATTTAAGTAGTTCACTTATATATTGCTATATAAGTTCTATATTAGTTATCATATCTGTAAGTTAACTAAAGGTCTTGCCTATTTAAACCTTCTGCATATGCAATCTTTTTTGTATTATGAGAACATCTCAAGGCTATACTCATCTAAGTTCCTGATGCTTGTTGTTATCCTTAGAACTAGTTTATTCTTGACAAGAAACTTACTAGAGCCTTTATGTCCTATATATATAAACCTAGTTTTATACAATATGCTATAGTTACCTAATATTTGCAGTTATAGGATTTATCTGTTTAACTATTATGTTACATTATTTCTACCCTTATAAAGTTCACTAGAACCTTAGTACTTATCTTCTTAGTATTTTCATCATCATTCTCTACTAGTCACAACTCAGAACTATCAGTCTCATTCCAGACTATCAATCTAAATAGCTTAGTATAATATATTTCTGTATTCTTTTTCTTCAGCAAATTCGGCAGCCTAGTTGGTAATATATTCCTCTACATATATTTGATATCTGGTTTTAATCTTTAGTTTCTATGAAAGTGTTTTATAGGCTTTAACCAGTTTGATGATACTATTGAAAGTTCATACTACCTCTTTATTCGGGAATTTCCAAATGGGTTTCTGTCATCTCAGTTTCTTAGTCTTTTATACCTAATAATCTTATCATGGGTTTGCATCAAAGTTTTATGCAACATCGATTATACATTCCTCTATATATATATAATATTACACTTTGTATAAATGTCTAAGCTTCTAATGTTAATAAGACCTGACTTGATGTATCTAAGTTACAACCACATGAACCCAACTGATTGATAGAAGACAGTTATCATAATGCAAATATAATTTTCAAATTTCATTATAGATGAAATTTAAACCTTAGATCTGCCACTTAGAAAATAACAATCTGACCATTATACTAAGATTATCATCCCTTTTTATAACTTTTATTTAATAATTAAAATTAGTTTACTTAATATAATTTTTTATAAAATTAAATATAAAAAACATTTATTATTAGGTTTATACATAATTTTAAAATACTTGTTCTTATTTTTAAAGTTTATTTAGTTTATTTAGTTTAGGGTTAATGTTTCTAATAAGACTAAGCATTAATAAAGTTTATAGTAAAATTGCTTAGAATTTTTTTTGTTAAAATACAAAAAATAGTTTCTTATTTAAATTTTTAAAAAATATATATAAAAAGAAAATACAACTAGTTATTTATACAACTTTAATTATTATCTAATTTAATTAGTTCTTTTAAAGGTTTTATATTAGCTGTTATATCTAAAATCTACTTGTAAATTTTTTATTTAAACATTCTAGTTCTCATATTTACCTATCTATTTATATATATTTAACAATAATCTTAGTTAATATTAATAAAAAATATAACATAATTACTAAGTCTTTAAAATAGTTTATTTATATATATAAAAACCTTTTAATTTTGTACTATCTTTTAAAACTTTTTAATTTTTATAAATTTTATAATTATAAAAACTTATTATAGGTTTATTTTGTTTGATATTAGTTTGTATATTTTTATACAATAGTATGTTATATAAATATCATATGATTTTTTAGTTTTGCTAATATAATATAAATAACAAATATTTTATTTTAACTAATAATAGAAGACAGTTAACTATAACAAAAAAAATTTTTTAATTTTTATTAATATTAGAATTTGCAATTTATTTTTGAATTAATAATACAACTCTTTTTACCAATTACCAAACCACAAAAATTTGCAAAAACAAAACCAAAGTTTATAGAAAAACTAATATTAAAATAATATTCAAAGGCTTAATAAAATAGAAAGAACTTCTAAAATAAACTTAACAGGTATATTAGTAGAAGAAAAAAAGCCAAACAGCAAGTAAAAAAACAACAAACTTAATAAATAAAATTTTTTTTTTTTTTATTTTATTTTATAATATCAAGTAGGAAAAATATTAATACATAAAAATATCAATTGGATATAAATGTATAAATAAGAATAATTTCTAAGCTACACTATTGTTGTTATATGCTAATGACATCTAGTGTGATATTATCTTTTAGTTATCTGTTATTAGTTAAATCAACTATTGTAATCATTAACTACAGAAAGGGTAAAAGGAACCCTTAGGGTTGTTAAAGTTAGTAGAAGCAATTATATATAGAAAAGTTTTGAAAAAGAGTTTTAGAAATAAAGGAATCTATATTAGTATTAAATATGAAATTATTGTTAGTAGAATTGGAAGGTTGTAGGGTAGATAATCGGGTATTGTTTTTCTTTTTGATTGAGGCAGTAATTCCTTGTGCTAATTCCCATTCATGTTGTTTAGTATTCTGGGTTTGCCAAATAGTAGAATTAAACCAGTTAAGTAAAGAGTTAGATAGAAGAATAAGGAAGTTGTTTGTTAGTTTTTTTAGAGTAAGATGAAGTTGTTTATATTGGTCAAGAGTTCTTGTTCCCTGGATGAGTAAGAGTATTGTATTATGTATAATAGAATTTGGAAGTGAGTTTTGTAGATTTAGAATTTGTACTATTGTATGTGATAAGGTTTCTAGAAGATTTAATGAGCTTAATGTATTTGAAATTTCATTGATAAGAATGTTATATAGATTGTAAGTGTGAAGTGAACATTGTAATAAATGTTTAATATCTTCGTATTAATTGCAAATTGAGCAATTTGAGGTTAAGAAAAGAAGAGAATAACGAATATTCAGGTTTGCCATTGTGGGTAAGTTGTTTAGAAGTATTTTGTTTCTGAAAGAGTATAGTTTAGGGT